AGCAAAAACAAACAAAGAGGCTCTGAATTGCAGTTTCATAATAAGTCTTGATATCTGGTAGGACAAGTTTCTTGATCAAGATTATCTTGGTTATTTTTGGCACATTGTTTTTCCTTAAACATTTTAGTAATCCTGTGAAGAAAAAAAAACGAGCTTGTGAAATTTTGATAAGAATTGCATTTCATCTATTGACTTACTGAGGGAAAATGAGTGCATTTACCATACTGAATTTTTAAGTCTATTTGGACTTATTTACATCTTTGTTTACATCTTTCAGTAATACTTAACAATTTCACCTGATGCTTTGAACATTTTTTGTTTAATTTAATTTTAGATACTTTATAGTTTTTGCTCATGTGAATAGGATTTGCTTCAATTTTATTTAAAATTAGGTTCTATTGATTTTTGAAATATTGTTTTTTTTTTTTTTTTTTTTAAGAGGCATGTTTTTTTTTATTTATTTATTTATTTATTTGTTTGTTTGTTTGTTCGTTTACACATGCACTGGGTATAGTCAGAAGCGTGGGAGGGTGAGAGAATTCACCAGAGTCAGAGCGGGGAGCAGAGCAGGCAGAAGGACCGAAGTACACTGCTGAGGGGAGCAGCGGGCGGCAGGAGAGGTCTGCGCGCCATGTGGGACCCTCCTCCTGTGGCCGGGGAGCAGCCAGGGATCGAACCGGCGTCGCAGAGGCTGCGGGCAGCTTCGCAACCCAGCGCTCAACCGCTGCGCCACCAGGGAGGCCCTGAAATATTGTTTTTTTTCCACTTTAAATTCAAAGAATCTCCCCCTTTATGGTTTGAAAATTATATATGGTTTTTTTATTCTTTTAGAGATCACCATTAAAATTTTAACCTGAATACATAATTTTCAGTCTAACTTTGTGTATTTCCTACTTCTCTCCAACAATACCAATACTTGAATGTTTTAAGTGGGATGACTCTTCTATGTTAGTGTTGCTCAGGATTGTAATTTTATCTCTTTTATCTCCTATAATCATTATTTTTGTTGTACAGTAAAAATTTGTTTAGATGCAATACTTATTTCCTCACTTTTTTGCTTAATATTTCTACTTTACTAAGAACTAAAGATACTAGTTCTTTCTACTTGAAGCTTGTTTCTTCCTTCTCAATCACTTGCCTTGGAATTCCTCTTAAAGAGGATTTGTTGGTGGGAACTGTACATTTTTATTCATCAGAAAACACTATTTTTCCTAATTTTTGTCTTATAATTTCAGTAGAAATAATACCTAGGGTAATTTTTTTTCCTCAGAACTGTGTAGGATAATCTTAGATCTTTCCCATCTGCTATTGTTGAGAATTTAGGTGTTTTATGTGTATATAAATATTCACCCTTGGGTAGTGTTTACCCCCTTGTCCCCCACTGCAGTTCTGGGTTGTTTTTTTCCTGGTACCATGTCCCTTCAATCTGAAGAACTTGTTTGAACTTTTCTTGTTACACTGTTGAAGTTGAAGTCAAAGTCTCTCAGCCTTTGTCATTCATAAATGTGTTTATGTTTCATCATTTTCTGAGGCTTATTTTTATGGGATATAGAATTGACAATTTTTTCTTGTAGCATTTTAAAGCTGTTTCTCTTTGTCTTCTGTCTTCTAGTTTCTGGTGAGAATTCAGCTGTTATATATGTGTTGTACATTTATGTAATTTTTTTCTTTGCCTGCTTTAAGGACTCTTGTCTTCATTTTGTTTTCAACAGTATGATATGTTCAGTAGTGATTTTTAAAATTTATCCTATTTGGAGTTCCCTGAGTTTCTTAGATTTCTTAGTTGTCTTTCACCAGTTTTAGAAAGCTTTTATCTGATGTCTCATCACATGTTTCTCTGCCCCATCCCTTCTCTCATCTCATTCTGGTACTTACTTCTGTTGTACATATGGTTGTGAGTTTGGTGTTGTTTTTTTTTTTTTTTTTTTTTAAATTTTATAGAGGCATGTTTGTTTATATTTATTTATTTGTTTGTTTGTTTTTTGTTTATACAAGCACTGGGTACAGTCAGAAGCACGGGAGGGTGAGAGAATTCACCAGAGCCAGAGCGGGGAGCAGAGCAGGCAGAAGGGCCGAAGTACACTGCTGAGGGGAGCAGCGGGCAGCAGGAGAGGTCTGCGCACCATGTGGGACCCTCCTCCGGTGGCCAGGGAGCAGCCGGGATCAAACCGGCGCCGCAGAGGCTGCGGGCAGCTTCGCAACCCAGCGCTCAACCGCTGTGCCACTGGGGAGGCCCTTTGGTGTTGTTTTAGATATCAAATGTACTTATTTGGTTGTTCTTTTTTCCTCTTCTTTTTGTTTTAACTTGAATACTTTCTATTCTGTTTTCAGGTTCACTGGGTTAACTGATTATTTCATCTAATCTGTCCAGTTTGCTGTTGCTATCTAATATCATAATTTTTATTCCTAACATTTTCCTTTGAATATTTTTGTGGTTTCAATTTATGTTGAGATTTCCCATGTTTTCTTATCTTTTCAACTGGGTTTCAGAATTCTGTGCAGTTAGTTCACAGTCTCTTCATTGTTTCAGTGTCTGGGTCAATTCTCTATCTGATTCCTTTTATAGTTTTCCCTTGATCATGTATCACAATTACTTGCTTCCATGTTTGTTTTATAATTTTTCTTTCCAAATATGTTATATAAATGGTAATATTGACTAAAGTAAATGATATTTAACTCTAGGAAAGGGTTTATCCTTCTTTCAGTCTGTTACATATTTGAGTTAGATGATGTATTCATGTTTAATTGGTGACTGAGTTAAGCTGATCTGCAGGTGATACTGATATGGCCTCTGTGGTTTTAGTTTATTATTACTTCTAAATAATTGGAGTGTATGTTCTAGAGCTTGTTTTCAGCAGGGAAGATGGAAAATTAGTGAGTGTCTGAGGATGTCTGTGCTTTACTAAGTCACTAGCTTTCTTACTGAAGGGGAACACACACTTTTCTCTTTGCTTCTCAGGCTGGTTGATAACTTCCTTTTGCTCTTGAACCCTCTTGCTGGCTTCTGTGTCACAGGAGGCTCACTTCACTCTTCCCCTTCCCATGCATGATGTGTAGTTGCCTTCCTTATATTGTATAAAGGCCTGAATTACCTCAATCCTTCAGTTGTTGCATTGTCTCCGTATGTGTGTCTCTTCATACGTGTGCCTCATTGCATGTGTGCCTCAGAGGGTCTTTCAGTTTTTCTGTCCTGTCCTAGCTTTCTTGTCCTGCTCCCCATCTGTAGAGGCTAGCTGCCTTGTGTTTGGGGTGACTCTGCATACGTCACAGTTATCAGAATTTCCTGTTCTCCCCTCAGCTTTTGCTGTGCTGACTCTATATACTTGTTGAATGAATATCTGTGTAATCAATTGATAAATTGGTGTTGACTCTCTGCTAGAAGGTGCTCCTTGGAATTTTAGGTTAGCATGCCAGTGCATGTGCAGTCATTCAGGGTTTGCTGGTTTCTTCTTAGCCTATCTAAGGAAGATTCTTTATCCTCCTAGATCTCTGCTAGACATTTGAGCACATCTGTAAGTCTTTTCTATTTCATGAAAGTCTTGTCACTTTCTGCAACTCAGTTTATTTAGGTTCCTTTTCACCCTTAATTCTTTTTTTTTTAAACTATGATTTTATAGTTCATCTGGCTTATTTTTGCTGGTGTAAGAATGATCATTGTCTTGTGACATAGCAGAAGGCTTAAATAAAAACAAAACTTCCAGTGACATGCTTTCAAAAATAGTGAATTTCTTTTCATCAACCTTGATTTTTATAATATTAGCTATAATGACAAGTAACATTTATTAAGTACTTACTGAGTAGTACTAGGTACCTGGGTGAACATTTCAAATGCATTGTCTCCATTTAATTCTCACAGACTTGGGAATAGTAGGTATTATTAGACCATTGCCATTTGCAGAAGAGAGATTAGGTAGCTCAGTATTACAGTCAGTTAGCGACACTTTTGAACTCAGGAGTATGTGTCACTGAAGAGAGTTTACAAATTCACATCCCAAATGGGGGCAGGTATGTAATATAAATGAGTAAAGTGAGAAGGGTATAAGAAGCAAAGCAAAGCAAACAGCATGATGAATGGTAGTTAAATATCTGCCTAGATACTGGTAAAAACCAAAATCAGTTCAACTGGCAAAGGCTCTTGGAGAATATGTTCCATAGAGGAATTGCTGAAAGTTATGTATGAAAGTTAAATTTTATAAAATGGTGCCCTTTTTTTTCTTAAGTAGTTAAAGCAAATTAAACATTGGCCAGCATTGAACCATATCTGTAGCAACAGCATTTGATATAGTCAAAATTCTTGTGTTTAGGACAAACAAGGAAATAATGAAATGTTGTTTATAAGCATTATACACACATGCACACACACATTTATTTTTTTTATTTGATTATGCCTCCTTTCAAAAGAAAGTAAATAAAAGGAATGGGTAAAGCTCCAGGCATTTGTTGCCTATTTGAGAATATGGGCTTGATATCTCAAGGTTTTATTTTTTAATACAAGTCAAAAATCTGTATTTTTCAAATGAAATCATTCAGTTTCTAAATGTTAGTTGCTGGTTCAAATAAAAAAAAAATAAAGAATGTGAGTAACTACATGGTGAATCTGAAATAACATATGTCTGCAGGCCCAGCCTGTTCCCTGGGCAGCCAGCTTGCAATGTGTGGAGTCTGAGCTCTGGCTCAGTTGTGTGGTTTCAGTTGCATGATTACACTGCCTCTCAGTCCCCATCTAATGTCTTTCTTTCACCTATGTACTAAACAAATTAAGGAAGTAAAGACCTGCACTTGCCTAAATATGTTTCATTTACTGCTATTATTGCAGTTGTGATTGTTTAGATATTAACTACAAAGACAATTCTTAAAATGCATTTATTTTATCTGCCTTAAGCACTAGAATTCAATTTTAAGGCATGTCTTTCATTAAGTTGATGTGAGGGTACCAGTGTTATTGAATGTCAGTTAATGCTTGTTCATTAATCATGACTTTCCTTTCTTCTGTGACATAGCTTTCACTTTCAGAAGAGCAGAATGATATAACGAAAAATGGCTGTGAATCTAAAGAGCTGGTCTACCTCGTGCACATCGCTTGTCAGGTAATTTTGTAGATGTGTTCTCCGCTATCACACAACATTTGATAAGAATTATTAGGAGTCATTATTAAATTTCTTTCTCTAATGTGTTCTTCATGTTACATAATAGAATCCTCAGATTCTCATACAGTATTGAAATGAAATTGCTCTGTAACTATTGTTAAAAAAATAAATAGTATTTTTTACAAAAGATAAATAAGCATGTTCATACAATGCAATATGGAATGTGCAGTTCAGTATGGAACTGCATATTTAGAAAAATTTTTTTTAGAGTCATGTATTTATTTATTTATTTGTTTGTTTATTTATACATGCACTGGGTACAGTCAGAAGCGTGGGAGGGTGAGAGAATTCACCAGGGCCAGAGCGGGGAGCAGAGCAAGCAGAGGGACCGAGGTACGCTGCTGAGGGGAGCAGTGGGCGGCAGGGGAGGACTGCGTGCCATGTGGGACCCTCCTCTGGTGGCCCGGGAGCAGCCGGGGATCGAACCTGCGCCGCAGAGGCCGCGGGCAGCTTCGCAACCCAGCGCTCAACCGCTGTGCCACCAGGGAGGCCCCATATTTAGAAAATTTTTAAGACTTTAGTTACTTGAGTGAATAACAGTGCCCATATAAACAAGTTTGTTTTGTTCTTCCTCCTATTTATATTGGCATTTTTACACATACTTAGAGTTGGAATAGTCAGTTTAGTATAATCATTTTTATAGATATTTAATTTACAAACAAACAAAAATTCTTCTCTGAGTAAAGAAGTCTATCAGTTATTGATAATAAGATAAAAATAAGCCAGCCATTTGTCACATGTTACAATAAAAGAACAGACTGAGTTTTCTCCTCCTCAGATGCTCACTTTCTAACCAATATGGTTCTCCTTCCACTTACATTGTTAAAGCACTGCGGTGGAACAGGAGGATGTGTAGATGTTTTAGAAGCTTGCTTTTTTCCCTGGATTCTTAGTATTAGGTAATACCCATGACTTGTTCTTACTGAGGTTTAAAATATGTCATTTGTAGCATTATTTCCTCCATCAAATAAAAAATATCGATCCTTTATTCTCCTTTCATTGAGCCTAATGCTTATGTTTGAATTTTTAATTGTAAAATGTCTTCTAGAAAAGCCTTCTTCTATATAGATCTTTTAGTTTTCTTTTGGAAGCATAAAATAAGGGCATTTATGTTTTTTTCCCAAAAGGTATTATTCATGTACCTGAAGTTAAAAATTAAGTCATCTAGAAAAGTCGAGTACTGGACCTCCCTGGTAGAGTAGGGAGTTAAGTCTCAGTGCTATCATGCTTTTACTGCTTTGGCCTGAGTTCGATCCCCGGCCTGGGAGCTAACCCACATATGGCCAGCAGACCTCTCCTGTCTTGCTCATTGCTCCCCTTAGTGTGTTCCAGTAGATCTGCCTGTTCTGCTCCCAACTCTGTCTCTCTCTGGTGAATATTCTCACCCCTCTGTACTTCTGGCCTACACACCAATTCTTCTATGCATAAAATATTTTTTTTTAAAAAAGTTGACTACTTATCTCATATGGGAAATGCTTAAGGTCTTAGCCTAGATGATTCTAACGAAAAGCTTTCAGAAAAAAAGCTTTTATTGAAAGTATTAAAATATGGGATAAGAAGTTGAATTGAGCTTGTGTATGAATAAGATAGCTAAAGTTACATATTGTTATACAGGTTTTGTTTTATGTGATCTCTGTTCCTTTGAGAAAATAGGGAGCTCTGAATCATTCAGTTTCATGTGGTTTTTCATAAAATTCTTCAATTTGGTGAGCTAATTTTTAAGTGGAAATATCAAGTGCTTTTATGAACTATTATAATGTCCTTATGTAACCATATCTTCTTTATCTAGAGTAGATAAAGTAGATAATAACATGAATTTATTAATTCTCTACAGCCTAACATCTTGTGGCATCACTTCTCACCATAAATTTCCCTATGCTTCAACAATGCAAGTGTTTTTATTCTTATAAATAAAGTATCAAAAATACCTATACTGTTTTTTACACTTGATCTTAGCCAAAAGGCCGAGAAGCGATCCCTATACTGTTTTTTAAAATGACCTTTAAAATGTAAGCAAGGTATTTTGTTACCACACATTAGAATATGTAATTGTTATTTGATTATGATTCCTTGAATTAGTGACCTAAATAGTTAGGCTCTTTCCTGGTTGTAAATATCTCATGAAGCTGGTTAAAGAATTTCAGATGACTTGGTATATACTACTTATTACATCAAAGTAGTAATTTGCTACATTATAATAATGCCATTGAAGTTCTCTACATCTCTGTAAGTAATCATTGATGCAGCCCATGGCTTACCTTCTGTTTTCATGCCATACAGAACTTAGATATATGCCATGCTAAGTCAAACACAAGTCATGTTAAACTAGAATCATTTTTATGTTTTTTTAATAACTGAAAGTCTCAATCTCTTTAATTTACAAAGGAGGAAAGGGAAACTCAAATTACTGAAGGAACTTTCCTAAACTATTGATATTTGAAATTTTAGCAGGAACTTTTTAAGCACTTCAGCTTCTTGATTGCCAGCTTCCTTTACTTCGTTGACATTCACAATTTAGATTAGATTTGAGAGAATGATTGGTCTTAAGATGAGATGACCACTATACTCTGATGTAATCTACTCATTCTAGAAGCTATTTATCCACATATTTCACATTTCCACTAATTTCTAATAATATACACTTCAGTTTCTTTTTAATGTAACCAAAAATTATTGGCTCTTGTTGCAACCCACATTTCCCTGTTTTGTTGTCTTAGAAAGTGGTCAATTAAACAACCAAGCCTTTTCCTTTCTGCGAGTTAAGTGATACCATTCCTTTAGATCTCATCTTTGGACCTTTTAATTGTGTATTTGCCTCTCCTCTGTTTTTCTTTTAATTTGTGTATCCAGAAATGTAAACTATATCCTTCCATGATGAATAGATTCAAACTCAGTAAGCATTTTTTGATCGCTTATGTGTCTACTACACAGATATTATGCATGCAGTATGTTATTTAATTCTAACAACAGCTCTATGAGGCAAATAGTCTGATTTTCCATTTTACAGATGATGAATCTAAAATTAGTAATGTTAATAACTCCCCACAGTCATAAAATTAAAGAGGATGAACAGGATTTGAATCTTAGCTTTTTTTTTTTTTTTTTTTGTTCTCCTGTTTTCCAATTTGATTTGTACCTGGCTTGTTTCTCTGAAATCTGGAAGCATATCCCAGATGTTAATAAAGAATTATAGAAATAGGGAGCCTCTCTAGTGGCTTATGGGTTAAAGTCTCAGCTCTGTGAAGCTATCATCAGCCACTGTGGCATGAGTTAGATGCCAGCCCAGGGAGCTAACCCACATGGTACAGCAGACTTCTCGCCTGGTGCTCCTCTCAGCGTGTATATCAGTAGATCCAGGTGTTCTGCTCCCCGCTCTGTCTCTGGTGAATCCTCCCACCGCCCGCACCTTTGGCCTACATCCAGTTCTTCTCTGCATAAATAAATAAAAATAAATCTTTTAAAAAATTATAGAAATGCACTGAAACTGACCATGTCTAGTTTCTTTACATGATTTCATTGGCTAGGGCCCAGCAACTATCAGTTGGAAACCTCAAATTTAGAACCCTGAGGATGATAGTCCAGGTCAACTGGGGACAATTCCATTCTGATAGACTATCTAATGAGAACAAAAATATTTAACAGCTGGTATAGCATAGGCGCAAAGTAAGTTGAATAGATACTGGCCATAAAAATCTCATTTGGCTGTGTGTGTCTCAACTGATATTAAGCATGGATAAAGCTACTCTCTTAGATGCCTCAAAGAATAGATCTATAATGCCCCGTCAGAGCCCCCAACTCCCTCCCTCATAAGTTGTTTCAATGAATGAGGCATGTTTTGCCTCAGATTCCACCCCCCTTATCTTTTTAATCAATTCTCCAAGTAAACAGGGAAAAAAAAGTATTATATAGAACAAGCAGGTTAGCTAGTGTAGATAAAGAAATACTCTTTCCAGTTTGCATTTCCCCCCACTGGTACATTTTCTGTTCTGAAAGCCATACTAATGTTTCCTCTGCACATTCTCTACTTTTCAGGAAACCCAATGCATTTAGTTTCAAATCAGTGGAAATTAATGGAATCCTCAGAAATTCAGGAATTCTCAAGTGGGAAAAAAAATACTTTACTGTCTCAAATGTTGAAAAATCAGTAATTTAAAAAATATCAAAATTAGATAAATTCTGACATTAATTGTATTGAACCCTACTGCACAGAATAAAGCCCTTACAGTAGTGGTGAGTCTTAAAAACATTCTGTTATTTATCTTTTAGTAAATAAGGAGATACTAACTTTAAGTGTTAATTTGAAAAATGGCAAATTTAAACTTACATGTTACAAGAATTCATTCTACATGTGCTCTAGAGAAAATCCTGTTCTGATCTTTCCGCTGTATGTATAGCTTGGGTGGTGTAAGAATGATTATTTTTGAATAAAATACTGAATATTATCCCGTAGTAAGCTTTAATATAATTGATTAATGATTCTTACTGAAGGGAGATTACATTAAGTCTATTTGTACTTAACCAGAATTCAGCAGTCTACAATAGTCTATTTTTTCTTGAAGTTTAAGTTTTTCATCAATATTTACAGTAATTTGAAGGCTCCTTTATGTCTAGGAGGTAGGGTAAACAGTTGGTTTTAGAGGAATGTTTTCCTGCCTCAAAATATCTCCTGTATTCTGATGCTCCCATGCATGAAATTCCACCATCACATGCATTCCTTGGTTTTATATAGCTAGTTCCATTTAGAATATGCTGTCACTAAGGGGTGTGGTTCAATATTAACATTGTGGAGTGTCAGTATATGAACAAAATATTTACTCAAATTGCATTCTTATTTAAATTAAACCTCATAGCTCTTTAATGAAATGTAGGTGGTGTTATTCTGATTTTATCAATGAATAAACTACTGCTCACAGGTGTTAAGTGACTTGTGTAAACTCCTATATCTAGGATAGGGCCAGACTGAGATACAAATCACATCTGTCTCCTTTCACCGAACATCACACCATTATAGATAGTTCATAACATTAATTCTTTTTAGATAACTTTCCCATGATAAAGGACCTAGTTTTTAGAAGGAAGAGCAAATGTATTTAGAATTTGTCCATCTCTTTCTCTGTTGTTACTTGGCTTCCCCTAGCTGCTATCTCTTTCTCATGTTGGGCCAGGGCGATAACATCTGTGTTTGCACCCTATATTTAATTATAAGCATTTAAGCTCCCACAATGGTGGAATCTACATGTAAAATGTAAATTGAAACATCTTACTCTCATGGTTAAAATTCTTTAATAGATTTCTACTGTATTTAGAACTAAACCTAAGTACTCCCCAAAACTTGTGAGGGTCCTGTATAATCTGAGCCTTGCCCATTTCTTGTGTATCATGGCATGACAGTCTTATCTTCACTCCCATGCTCAGGTCACACTAGCTTTCAGTCAGTTCCTAGAAGATCCTAAGTTCTTAAATGCAACAAGGCATTGAACTTTGGTCAATCTGTAACTCGATTACAAGCTTTTTGCTATCACAAGAAAATTATTTTAAGAGTTGAAAGAAATCATTTCACAGATAATTTGAGGAAGTAAAATTTGAAATCCAATCCCCTTTGTTACTTTTTGAAGCTCTGAAGATTATTGTATTTATGTGATTGGTTGTTGATACTAGTTTCCTTTGAGGCAGAGTGCTTAGATGGAAAAGAATGTGATTACTTTTTTAAAATTAATAAACTTTATCTTTTTGGAACAGTTATAGGTTCACAGCAAAATTGAGTAGAAAGAACAGAGTTCCCATATGCCCCTTGTCCACACGTGTGCTGCCTCCTCCGCTATGGACCCATATCACCAATGATATGTAATTAGTGAACCCACATTGACACACCATTGCCATCCATGGGCTCAGTCATGCTATTTTTCATTTTGTGATTTTGGTTAAATTTATATTGGTACCTCTATCTACCATTATACCATCATGCAGAATAGTTTTGCAGCTCTAAAATTCCTGTGCTCTACCGATTCATCTCTTCTCCCTCTAATTCCAGGCAACCACTTATCTATCTTTCATCTGTCTCCATCGTTTTACCTTTTCCAGAATGTCAGTCTGTAGTTGAAATCGTATAGTATGTAGCCTTTGCAGAATGCCTTCTTTCAGTTAGTGCTATGCATTTAAATTCCCTTCATGTCTTTTCATGCTCTGGTTTACTTCTTTTTATCCCATAGTCTGAGTTATCAGTTTGTATTTATCCATTCACCTACTGAAGGATATTGTGCATGCTTCTGGGTTTTGACAGTTATAAATGAAATTGCTATAAACATCTGTGTACAGGTTTTCCTGCCTGAGCACTGTCTTCCACATAAATTACTGCTTCTGAATTTTTGTCTGATCAATTGTGTTTGTCTGCATTTACCCCTTGGTTTCTTTAATTTGGGGATCAGCAGTTTGCCCCATTTCCTGATGGATTTACAGGAGGGTTGTTGATTTTCTTTCAGTTCAGAATCCCATTCATGAGGACTTTTCACTGTCATGATTGCACCAAGCGCTACCTACCTCCCAAAGGGTTCCTTTCCTAATACTATCACATTGGAGAGTACAGTACTATTTCAACATGAGAATTTTGGGGAGATATATTTATTCAGTTCACAACACCCTAAATTATGTCAAAAAATTCTTCTGTTTTTAAGGAATGTTTACTGTAAAAGGGTTGGAAACAAGCCAATTTCTGTTTTAAAAGCACCAGGAACCCACAAAAAGAGGACCATATTTCATTTGTATTCACCACTTTGCTTAGTCAGTTGGCTGACAAGGGGTAATAGATGTGACTATACTTGGTCATTTCTCTCTTTATCTCTAACAGAGTGGTATTATACATGTTTGTACAGTTGATCTGATTGATTGCTCTGCTTTTCCACTAATGATTTAAAATCCTATTTATATATATTTTTTTAGTGAAAAGGAGCAGGGAAAAAAAAAGCAAAAGGTCACCAGGACTTATGAATTATTTTAAAATAATGGTATTAAACTCAAAACTGAAACTACTAATTTAGGCTTTATGGAAAGTAACCTTGATCTCATAAAGATATGTTAGATTTTCCCTGTTTGAAATCCTGTTATGCATAATGGAATACTGCTTAGCTATAAAAAAGATGAACTTTTGCCATTTGCAACAACATCGGTAGAACTGGTGGTGATAATGCTAAGTGAAATAAGTCAGAAAGACAAATACTAGGTTTCACTAATATGTAGAATTAAAAGAGACAAAACAATGGGTCAGACAGGACAAACCAATAACAAACCCTAGAAATCTGACTGTACAATTTAGGGACAATCAGAAGGTAAACAGCAGGGTGTAAAGGGCACCCCCTGGATTATGGTGAAGGACTGTGGGTGCTTTGGTGGTACGAGTGTGGTAGTAACATATATCTGAAGAGCTGTGTTTCTATAACTCTCAGTCATATACAGTGCTGTAAACCATTGTTAACTCAATTAAAATAATGAAATTCTGATATATGTAAATGTAATCAGTAATAATCTTTCTTGTCCTTTGAATTGCTAAAATCTTGGTGACCACTTATTCTGCTAATATCCTCGGGGTTTTTTTTTAGAAACTTCGTTCCCCTTTGTGGTATGTTCAGCCCACCATAAAAATCTCCAAGTTAATAAAAAATAGTAATAGCATTAGTATTAATACATTGATACGTTAGCATGTATTGAGCAATTTTTATCATCTGCTGTTCTGTGAAGCACTTTATAGCAGTTTATTTAATTTAATTCTTAAACAGCCAGAATTTACAATTTTAGTGTTTTGATCCTAATGTTAAGTTTTTAGCTTTTTGGTTATTTCAGGAGTTGTAAATTATATATCTTGTGATGGTAACGACTTTAGCAAATTAAACTTTGCTGTGCTGTACCTAAATATATTCAAATACACTTTTTCAAAACACTTAATGCCAATCCCAAATCAGAAGATGAAATGGATAAAGTACCATGAGTGATGGCAGTAAATGCTTTCTTATCCAAATGAAAATTTGAATTATTTTATTGGACACTTATTTTAATTCCTGTTATTTCACATGTGAGATTTTGAGCAAATTCTATAGAGAAGGAAACAAATTCTTATGTTACTTCTCTTTGACAATATGCTATAAACTGAGGGCAAAACCCCAGACTTTGGAGCAGGTGTCTGCAATACATGTCAGTGATAAAAGATGATTTTCCCAACAGACTGGCAAGTTATAAATCAATAAGTAAAAGTTGTCATTTTAATGGATAAAATGAGCAGATTTCTGGTAGGATTGAACAGTTCACACAAAATTGGCATTATCACTTTGGAGACCAGTTCGGCAAATTTGAAATCAGGTTGATGATGGGCATATATTATGAGTTAGCAGTCCGCCCTTTAGGTTACCCCTGTGCAGAACCTCTCACAATGGGTGGGATGAGACATGAACATGAATAAAATACAATTGTAGAAGAAGGCCTGATTCATAAACATTTCTTAATAGAGAAGAATCATGAGAATCTTTTTTCCTTATTCAAAGGGCAAAAGTTGGATTGTTAAAAGAAGTTATGAAGATTTTCGGGTACTTGATAAACACCTTCATCTCTGTATTTATGACCGCCGATTCTCCCAGCTCTCAGAGCTTCCCCGTTCTGATGCCCTGAAGGACAGTCCAGAGGTAAGCAATTAGTACCTACAGAAATAGTCACAGCATTTAAATTAGTGGAAAATTTTGCCCATATACTAATTAAAGGCTTATATTAAACACTCAGGATGATTCCTTAGATTACTTAACTATTTCATAACCGAAAAATTAGTAATGCTATGTAGGCTGTTCATAATTAAAGTATGTTCAATAAATAATTTTATAAATAAAGCTCATATCATGACATATAAGTAAGCAGAATTTGAGCAGAGCATTCTTCAAAGAGAATTTAGGATATGAAAAATGTAGATATCAATCAAAGAAATGCATTTTGAAAAATGCTATTTGCTTAGTTTATGATGGCAGGCTATTTATACACCTGTACTTCCACTCCTGCCAAAAATTTCTAGGGAAAATATGAAAAGAACTTTAAATTTTTTAAAAGAGATTGTTTATAATATCAGAAAATAAAAGGAACCTCCAGGGAATGAAAATTTGTGAGAAATGTTTGATTTTTAGGGGTGAGAAAATATAGCATAAGAAACATGCAAGAGAATTGCAGAAGATAAAACAGAAATCTTAAATACCAAAGCAGAATTCAAAATAACTGAGGTAGTTCAGAGTCATGATTACTATCCTCAGAGAGAATGTGAGGCCATCACATCTTTGGAATGAGATCAGATTTTTATGAAAAGAAAATGATGGATCTTAGAAATGAACATCTGGTCATTGAAGTTAATTTCTATAAGAGTAAACCTATCCAATTGGACTATATACAAAGTGGACACAAATCAAGAAAAAATTAGTGAGTTAGAAGAGCAGTTTAATTAATTTATAAAATTATAGCCCTCCAAGGGATTAAAAAATTAAAAGTTGTGAGAGAACAGCTGGAGATCATGGAAAATAGATCCAGAAGTTCCTACTTTCCTCTCATAGGGGTTTAGAGGAGGAAAGAGTGGATGAAAATAAGTAAAACTTAATATGAATCCCCCATCCAAGAAAAAGAGACAACTCCCTAAGTTTTCAGATTAAGTGGACCCATTAAGTACTAAATATGAGTGAGAAGACATACATGTAAAAATACTGGTTAGAAATTTCAAAATGTCAAAATCGAGAAAACCCTGAACGCTTCCAGACAGTGAAAACAAAGAGACCAAGAGTTGTATTGACAGTAAACTCCTTACCACCACAATGGAAACTTGAAAACAAAATTCCAGATATCTTTTAAGGTCTGAGGGAAAGCCCTTATCAATATATAATTATAGAATCCAATGTATTTAAGCAGATAGGGCAAAATAAAGGCATTATTACTTATGCAAGAATTGCCACTGCCACAGGATCTCAGGAATTTAAGACATGATAGAAAACCTGAAGTTTTTCTACCTCCATTTCCCACCTCTGCTTATCTGTTGTACTTTTTGCTAAGACCATTGAGAAACATGACTCTACCAAAAGATCCCAGGTTTTTATCCCATTTTAAGACAGCAGCCAGACTGAATTGAAATTTTGTATCACAATTTCTAATTCCTACATTTACTTGTCAGACCAACTAATATTTGATGATCACATTCCTAGACCAATCAGCTGATCCATAGTGTAGGACAAAAAGGTTTGATTATGACTGTCCTGCCATAGGCAAGTGCCTGGAAGATTATAGCAGGTGTTGGAGAAAGGTTTCTGAGGGCAGGGAGAAACTGGGAAGGAAAACCAAGTATGTCTCTGCTATTATTATCTTTTTGTATTTTCAGAGCAAAAATAGAGAAAGCAAACAAATTAGAATCTATAAAATAATATGACCCCTGATGATGGAGGGTTAAAGTTTACAAAAGACAGAGAATTACTATGTAAGTGCCCCTAGTTTCAGTTCATGGAACTGTGAAGCCACTGCAAAAAATTCTCTAACTGTTAAAATGTCTAAAAATCTGCAGTTTCTCCCACCATAAAAAAGAACAAACAAATAAACAACAACAACAACAAAAAAACCCAACGAAACAGTTTACATCAGTTCCTCTGACAAAGCAGAGTACTTTTATTCTGAGTTACCACTGAATCTTTTCTTTCTCTGTAGTCGGTCACTCAGATGCTTATGGCTTACCTGTCCCGCCTTTCAGCTATTGCTGGCAACAAGATCAATTGTGGACCTGCCCTTACCTGGATGGAGGTATTATCTAATTCCATTTTAAAATATTTTTAAAATTTATTTCAAAATCATGTACTTAAGAAACAATTTAATTTTGATAGCTATTATGTTTCAAGTATAAAAAATAAAGATTTTAGAACAAGGAAAACTTGCATTGAGATCTTAACTCTTTCATTATTGGCTGTGAGATCTTGGACAAATTTCTTAATGTCATAAATTACATAACTTTTTTTTTTTAGCTTTAGCATCTTTACCTTTAAATGATAAGTATCTTTTAGAATTATGAGATGAAATAGTATATGTTATATGCACAGCACAGTGATTGGCACACATTAAGTACTCAATAAACGGTAGTTTATTTTATTTTATTTTATTTTTTTTTTTATAGAGGCATGCTTATTTATTTATTTATTTGTTTGTTTGTTTGTTTGTTTTGTTTATACATGCACTGGGTACAGTCAGAAGCGCGGGAGGGTGAGAGAATTCACCAGAGCCAGAGCGGGGAGCAGAGCAGGCAGAAGGACCAAAGTACACTGCTGAGGGGAGCAGCGGGCGGCAGGAGAGGTCTGCGCGCCATGTGGGACCCTCCTCCGGTGGCCGGGGAGCAGCCGGGGATCGAACCGGCGCCGCAGAGGCCGCGGGCAGCTTCGCAACCCAGTGCTCAACCGCTGCGCCACCGGGGAGGCCCAACCTCTTTATTTTAAAGAGGTTCTTTGGATTATGTTCTCTCTAAATCAAATTGAGGTATCTTTTATAGATAGTCAACCTTTTCTAAGTCCCATGTTCTTAGTAATCTCATGGTACATTCTTCTCTTTCAGATTGATAATAAAGGAAATCACCTTCTAGTTCATGAGGAGTCATCCATTAACACTCCTGCTGTTGGTGCTGCCCATGTTATTAAGAGATACACTGCTCGAGCCCCTGATGAATTGACCTTAGAGGTAAACAACTAAAGACTGCTATGTGTTAGCCTGGTCCTTGCTATCTTTTCAGCCCCGTCTTTATTTGTTTTAATCACTTCTATAATTAGAAGCACCAGGTTTTTTCATACTCTATTTTCATCCTGAAATGCCATCTATTACTGTACTCATCCTTGAAAATTCATCTGAAATAGCTCCCATTTCTTGTAGGAAGTCCTCCTTGATCTCCTCCATTATGCATGCTATTACATGACTCCCCACAGGATACCCTGGATTAAATGTCATTCTGGACTGTTCTCATGGCTTATCTCTAACATATCACTTACTGCATGCAGTGATGATTGTTTTCTTGTTTGTCTTTGTGAACTTTTCAAAGTCATGTCTCAGTCTTTTGTCTTGTGTTTTTAGTAACTAGCAATTATACCCAATGATGCTGTCTTCTCATTGTTTGTTCAAAGATGAATTAAAGAGTAGATGAAAAGCAAAATGAACATTTCCTACAATCAGATGCAAAAGAAGGGGAATTAAGTTTCCTCCTTTAATATTGATTGATGAGAGACAAAAATGCTGACTATTCAAGAAAAGACAGTGTAAATTTTTTTATTACATAGAATTGAACTGTTCTCAAGCTGAAAAGTTAGGTTTTATCACAAAGGAATGTAGATCTTGAAAGAAATCATGACTTAGCAAATATAGCTTCATGAAGAGGACTCCTCATGACAATTTTCTTAAAAGAAAATTCTTAAATACTTAATTACAGTACTTAGTAACATTACTATGAAGATGATTTTGGAGATCATCACTTATTTTGAATGAAGAATATAACTTCCATTATATATGTGTGATATTTATATTTATGATTTTGTTCATATTTGTATAAACTCACTAGTTTGTCTTTTAGAATGTAAAAAGAAAGCGATGTAGTGGATGTAGTACCATCTATCAAAAGACGAATATTTGTTGCCGAATTTTACATTTACTAAGTAAAATGTAAAACCTGTAAGAAGTTGTAGGTATCTTAGGCCTTTCCTATTTGATTAAAAAAGGATAGTGCTCAGTACAGTGCCTGGTATGTGGTTAGTCCTCACTAAATTGGTTGTAAATAGGATCTTTTGTTCTAAATATTAGTATTTAAAATTATCTTTTTAAAATCAGTGAATTTGATCACTTTTAGTAACAACACTAACAGTATTTTAACAGAAGTGGTGATCGTAATTAAAAACCACATGCTATAATATAAATCTGACTTTCTGAAGTTGCTACACGTGTTAGTTGGATCATAGTTTTTGTGTTCACCACTTCTTAATAAATGTAAGATTATTATGTTCTTTAAGGAAATGTTATTTTTTTTCTGGAAATAGTGAATAAGATAGGACCTATCCTTCTTGTTCGGATGAGACTCAAATTCTATATATAACTGCTGGTTTAAAAGTTGACTAAAAACATTTCACTTTTTTTTCTCCTAGGTGGGAGACATTGTTTCTGTAATCGACATGCCCCCTAAAGTGTTGAGCACGTGGTGGAGAGGCAAGCATGGATTTCAGGTAGGCAGGAAAGAATGAAATGGAGAAAAGTTGCAAGAACCATTTTTCCTTATGTTTCAATATTATTCCTTTTTACGACATTTTACAACATGTACTGGCAATGGACTTTTTTTTAATCAGAAATTTTGTCTTTAGTGATAGAAAAATGGACATAATATTAGACTTGAATTTCCTTTTCTGGTTACTGTTATGATGGTTTTATCATTATTTTTCTTCTCTAGATGGTAATATATACAGTCAGGGTGAGCAAAATCATGGATTTGATGACTACTTTTTGACTATCAGACCTGACTCTGCCTTATTTTTAATATTAGTTTTAAATCATGATGCACATTATTTAAGTTACTTAAGCTACGTCATCAGTTTTACTGAAAGGATATTTCATATTTTAATAAAATTTTTTGTAGGAGGAATTCAGAATATTATCTAAACTAAAATTATTGCTTTACTATGGTGTATGTTTCCCACTTAAAAGTAGATGGTTAGTGCATAGAAAGTAAACTTTTATGACATTTTTGAAGTCCTCATTATCAATATATTTACTAAAAATGAAAAAGTTTAAAAAATAATGAGTCATATTTTCTCTAGAATTCAATATTTTTCTTTAAAAATGTATTGTTAACTGTTAATGTGTTAAATGTAGAGCAACAGAATTTAAAGCAGTCTCATTTCTTTTTCCATAGATGACTAAATTATTTGAAACCTGATAATGGCATCTTTTAGATTGAGTAGCACCAATTTCCATAGGCTAGATAGGTTTTCTTTTATCTTTTAAAACTACCAATAGAAGAATATCTGAAAATGCCTTACAATTGTATCCTTAATATATAACTTGTGGGTTTTTTTTTTTTTTTGGTCTACTTGTGTTAAAGTATTTCTAAAATGTTACATAAATAAAATGCTGTTGGTATTTAGTGAGGAATATTAAAAGCTATTATATAAATATCTTGAGCTTTAACTACATATTAAATAAATGCCAGTTATTAGGTTTTGATAACATGTATTTTATTTTAAAATAATCACTCAATTTAAAGCAGTATAATGTGGTGGCTAAAAGCATAGCATCTGATGCCAGATTGCCTGTGCCTTTACTGCTGGGTTAGCACTTGCCTTAGTTTCCCCATTTGTAAGATGGGGATTGTAGGACTATCTTTATAAGATTTTCATGAAGATCAAATGTGTGAGAATAATATATATAGTACTTAGGCCAGGTCTGATGCATAATTTTCTTTCAGTCAATATTGATTTTTTAAATTTAATAATCTTGTTTTTTTAATTTTGTAAATTTAATTTTACCTTTCCCATTATCTATTAAAATTATCTATAGCAATTCATCATACCCATGTTACCCTGCAAATGTTCTTGTCTCTCTCTGTGTTTTCATTTCTTCTTAACTACTATGAATAATAGGTGCTTTCAGTTAAAAATAAATAGAAGACAGGGGTTATCATTTTTCAGATTTGGGGATCAGTTTTCCATGTTCATGGAAATGAGCTATAAAGCCCTAGGGTTTCAAAGATGATCAAAAAATAAATTTGGCTTTAAAATAGTTTTGATCTTAATGTTCCTGCCTTACAATCTTAGACAAGTCATTTGCTGTCTTTGAAACATAGTTTCTTCTTAAAGAGTTCTCTCTAGTTATTGTTAACATTTTAATTTCATGATTGTAAGGATAGTAGCAGATTTTCCCTTCTTTCATGTAACAGTTACTTATTATGCTAGGTATAGATTTGTCTACCTAACTTTTCTAGAATCACACAAATTAGTTTATTGCTGAAACTAATTCTTTTAGAAATCAGTACAGATTAACTAGTTAAAATTTAATTGCCAAGAAAAATTATTTAAAATAATAAAATAGGTTTTAAAACTTTGAGAATGAGGAGTTTTTCATAAAGGAATGCTATTTTTCATCCTGATTGGTCTGGGAGAGGCAGGCTTGTCTGTTTAGATCATGTTGGAGCTAGAAGAGGAATTGATTTGAGGTGCCTTGGGAGCACCCATGAAACCACAAGAGTATCTTTACATGTCACTGTCAAAGACTTCATTAAAAAATGGCATCCAATACTTTAAGGGAATAGTCTACATAACTTACTTTTCCTTGCTGTTTGTTTGTAGATGCGCCGCATGGTGTATTGCAGGGGGAGGTGATCGGGAAGGCATGGATGGAGCATCTGTTATGCACAAGGTGTTGCTGGGTACTTTTTACACAGTGTTTTCTTTAATCTTCCCAAATCTTCAAGATAGCTTTCATCTCCCATTTTATGGAGAGGGAACATTTTCGAGAGGGTTAGTAAACAGCCAAGATGCCAAATCAGTAAGTGTAGGGACTCAGATTCATGTCTGCTTGATCACCTTGCCTGAACAGCACTCAGCCTGGTTTCTACACTTACTCTCATATTATCAACTTTCTCCCTGTAGAAAGGAACATCTTGCCTAAGACTGTAGTACAGATTATCCACCTGTGGACTGCAGAGCATACAGGTTTACTGTTACAAGATATTACATTGTTATGTGATGATTTGTATATTGTATCTAGGAGAAAACTCTTTTTTAGGTTATTGGTGATGTTTTCTACCCCTATTAGGTATTTTTTAATTGTGAACATATGTCTGCCCTTTAAATATTTCTGTTGAGAGAGGAAATAATCATAATTTAGTCCCTGTATATGATATTATGTATAGGTCCCTTTAATATTCTGATATTTAAGTTTTAATACCTGGAATGACTGAGTTGTTTTCATACTTTTTTTTTTTTTAACCCCAGTGGAATTGTTAATCAAAGATAATCTTACATAGAACCTCAATGTGAGAAGAGGTAACACTGCCCTGATGAGTTTAAGTTTAAGGCACGAACTTTATGCCCTACAAACAGGCCTGGTGGCATCCCTCAGGCCTCCTGCAACATCCCAGAGGAACCTCAGTAGAGCTGGGTACAAGCATCACTCCTGGGATACCTCTGATTTTAGTTCTGGTAAATTTTACCTTATGTGATGGATATTGTGCATCACAAGCCGTTCTTACAATTTTGATTTTTAAAAGTATTAGAGAAACATATTCTTTATAAGAACACCTTTTATGTGACTCCTTTTAGAAGGGTTATCCGATTTTTTAGTTTTTCTAATTAAATCATGCTGAATTCCTGTTATTTCATATATTTTGGTATAGGTGGGTAATATAAATTTAGAAGTAATAGTAATTTTATTAATTTTTTTTCTATTATTGAATATTGCTGCTCCTAAGTTTAATCTATTCCCTTATTTGTTTAGTCCTTGTTCATTCCATATTAGGTCTGCCATAACAAAATACTCCTGGGTAACTTAGTGAACAGCAACTTATTTCTCACAGTTTTAGAAGTCCAAGATCAAGGTGCTGCCATATTTGGTTTCTTCTGAGGCCCCTTTGGCTCATCTTCCAGATAGTTGCCTTCTCATAGTGTCATCAAGTGGTCTTTTTTCTCTGGTGTCTTTGTCTCTATGTCCTAATCTTCTCTTCTAAGGACAGCAGCCAGGCTATCTTAGGCATACCCATATGACCTCAGATGACTGTAATTGCCTTTTCAAGATCTCTGTACCTTCTGAGGTACAGAGTATCAACAGCTCAGCATATGAGTATCTGAAAGATACAATACAGCCCATAAGAGTGTCAACCAATCCTGGAGGTTGAGGAAGGTGGGTCCACATTTAGGGCTGGTTTAGACCCTTCAGGGGCTCTCTTATACAGACTTGATCAGAAGCAGGGCCCCACCAGAGCCAGGCTTGTCCCCATGCCAAGGGCAGGCAGTGCTTTAGGGCATTGGCCACAACTGCTTAATAGCATGAAGGTCTCAGAATAAAGGAGCTTGGGAATGAATGCTCTATGGGTGCCCTGCCCTTCCTGCCGTCCTCAGACAGGAAAGTGTGGGGCAACTTCTGAGAAGGAACCCCTGCTCTTGCTCACAGGCAGTGATTGAACTTCATTTGTGGCAGCAAGCCCTCTGAGCATTGGACACCTTGCCCTGAGGCAGGACAAAGAGCACAGGCAGGTCTTGCTGCCCTCCTCTGGGACTCTCTGATAGTAGGATGGCAGCGGTGGTGGGGAAGGGAGGGCGGGGAGGGCTTTGGTTCAGAGCCCAGTAGGAATTCATGCAAGGTCCAGGAGAGCTCTGGGGCAGGGAATTCGTACTGCGAAGTCTTGTGTGTGATTGTCTTCTGAGAAGAGGATATCCTGATGACCTGGGCAAGGATGGCTGGTCTTGGAATATCGTGCCCCTTGGTTAGCCAGTTTGGCTGGCCCTGGTCACACAGATGGACTTTTGTAAACTGGGCTCTGTCAGTGGCTCTTGAAGGATGAAACAGAGGCAGGAAGTGTGTCTTCCCAAATAATATAGCAGGAGAGGAAGGAGACTTGAGGTGATTTGGAAAGTGATCTTCCTTGGTTTAAGACCATTTAGACTGAGCATTCTCAGGAGAGAGAGGAAAGGAGAACAAGATGTGGGCTGTTGTTTCTCAGAATGAAGAACACCTCCGCAGTATCCTGTTCTGAGCACTGCTGGAGAACTTTCTGGAAAAGTGATGTGGGTACACAGGGTCCGGTATATCTTCATTTGAAGGTCTGCTTATCCTGTGTGTTTGTGTTGTATTATGTGGACTCTACTTTTTCTTTTGTCATAGTCACATGTATGTTTGCTGTCTCCTTCCCAGCCTGCTCTCTCAGAATGTGACAAAGGTTCAGGTGTCAGTTCGGAAGCCTTTTCTTTATATTACTGTGACCTGATGCTAGGCAGTTGCTTGGTAGTGACTTTTATTATTATTAAAAAATAATCAATAGACCTTATTTTTTAGTTCACACTTATAGAATAATTGAGTAGATAGTACATAGTTTCATATAATGCCTCTCTCCCCCCCACACGCACATACACAGAGTTTCTCCTATTAACAGCTTGCTTCAAAATACATTGAAAAGAATTGGCAAAGTGATTATTTTTATTAACCACCTGCTGAATTTATAGTCTCTTCTAACTGA